GGGGGCGTTGTCGCCGGCCACCGCCTCGCAGATCCTGGCCAGGAAGCGGCGCCGAGGGGTGAGTGCCCCTTGGTCCCCGGTCCCTGCCCGCGGCCCTAGTCCCAATCCCAATCCCTATCCCAGTCTCCCTCCGCGTCTCCCCTGCAGATCATCGAGAAGCGGCGCCGCGACCGCATCAACAACAGCCTGTCGGAGCTGCGGAGGCTGGTGCCCAGCGCCTTCGAGAAGCAGGTTGGTGACCCCCAACCCCTTCCCCAGCTGCGCATCTGGCCGCCGGCTGCTTTTCCCGGGTCTCACCCCCCCCTCCCCCCGTGTCCCCTCCTGCAGGGATCGGCCAAGCTGGAGAAGGCGGAGATCCTGCAGATGACCGTGGATCACCTGAAGATGCTGCACACGGCTGGCGGGAAAGGTAAGGTTCTCTCAGGTTGGGGCGGCAGGAGGAAAGGTCACGAGCTGCACCCTCCAGCTGTGGATGTGGCATTTGCAGGGGGGGCGAGTAATTCAAGCTCCCGCTTGCGTGCTCTGAGGGAAGCATGGCCTGTTTGGGAACTGCCTGGTACTTGCCTGTGTGAGCTCCTTTGAAAGGCTCAGTTGCAGCCTGTAGATGCTTACTCTTTGGGGCGGTGGCCTGCCCTCCCTCTCTAAGGTTAGTCAGAGAGAAGTGGGGCTGGAAGGGACCCCCAGAAGTCATCTAGTGCCACACCCCGGTTGTGGCAGCCCTGTGGGAAGCAGTGACTGTCAGCTCCTTGGAAACCCTTTTCTCACATGCAGTCTTTCTGTTTTTTGGCATCTTTGGCAATTCTGGAGAAGGAAAGGCATGGGGAAAAGGGGTCTCGGTGTCACAGACCGGAAGGGTCGGAGAGGGGCACCAACCCAGGCGGCAGCAGGCAGAGCCTGGGCAGGCTGGGAGCTAGTCTGTAAGTCCCCCTTGGATAAGCTGCACGTGTGTCTTCTATTGTGTGGAGATTTCACCGTTCTGTGGCTTTGCTGCCATCGGGGGTGGGGTGGGGTGGGGGGGACACAGAAAGAACAACTGTTTTCTTCGCCTGGTCACGGACCACATCAGTTTGCACATGGTGAGCCGAGACACTCAGCACCACAACACAGGCATTAGGAAAAAAATGCTTGTTAGACCCTAGAAGGCCTGGAAAGCTATCCTATGGTTAGGAAGGTTATAATACCATAACCAGCATGATCAAACGAAGCGTGCTTACACGGGAGGGTGTAATGTTGGAATCAATGGAAACCACATCTTAACACACCACTTTTTTTTCCCCACCCTCCTCCTTTCTTTCAGGCTATTTTGATGCCCATGCTCTTGCTATGGACTATCGAAGTTTAGGGTTTCGAGAGTGCCTGGCTGAAGTTGCCCGGTACCTTAGTATTATTGAGGGCTTGGACGCTTCTGATCCTCTTCGAGTTCGACTTGTCTCTCACCTGAATAATTATGCCTCTCAACGGGAAGCAGCAAGCAGTGCACACACTGGCATTGGACATATTCCTTGGGGCAGTGCCTTTGGACATCACCCTCACATCTCTCACCCATTACTACTGCCTCAGAATGGGCATGGTAACACCAGTACCACAGCGTCTTCCACAGAACCACATCACCAGAGCAGAATTGCTGCTCATGCTGAAACTTCTTCACTGAGAGTGCCCCCTAATGGCAGCATTGGATCGGTGCTCCCTGTGGTCACCTCTACTTCCAAACTGTCTCCGCCTCTGCTCTCCTCCATGGCATCTCTGTCTGCGTTCCCCTTTTCGTTCAGTTCATTCCATCTGTTGTCCCCTAATGCACTCAGCCCATCTGCACCAACGCAGTCAGCAACCCTGGGCAAACCCTACAGACCATGGGGCACTGAGATTGGAGCTTTCTAAGGACTCATTAGTCTGGGGACGGGGGAAAGGGTCTAATAACTCAGCTGAGCTGGGTTTGTGCCAGTTAGTTTCAATTTTAAGTTCTTATATAACTGAGACAAAGGTACAGTTTCAACTTTAAAAATTTGTCTAAAAGCTGAAGTGCTTCAGGTTTTTTTTACATTTTGTATTAGTGGGTTTTTGTTTTGTTTTTGTTTTTTTTTAAATCTAGTTGCTGAAGCTTGTCCAAAAATTAAATTGAAATAGTGGATGTTAACACTTATGATAGGTTTGTGTGGAATGTTCAACTCGCTCTGTAAACAGTTTGTCTCAAATGATTCCATTTTGGCTAAGTACCTTGGACCCTTTTATTTTTTTAAAGTTTTTAGTGTATTTCTGTCTATTGTTAGCAACAGCTTTGTTTTGTTTTGCTTTACTTTTCCAAAACCACTGTTCTCAGCATTAACATAAACTGTGTTTTTTGTTAATATTTTGACATTAAGATGCTCTATAAGGAAATTCTTTTGTAAACTATATTCTGAGTTTTATATTTCTGAACAAAGCGTTGACAAATCAGATTGAGCAGCTTTATACAAGAGTTCTGTGTTCACTGCAGTGGTTAGATGTGTCTGGTGGTCTTAACCTATTCTCTTGTGGAGTTCTATCCACATCACAGAACCACTGCACTATTTCTTTTGGCATAAAGGGCAGCTTTTGCTCAAGAGCAGACTCTCTACAATAGCTACAGACCAAGAACAAGTTGAATTGGTGTGGATTTAATGTGGGAGCCTGGACAGGAACATATACGAGTGCCTGCCATTTTCCTGACCAGAGCATCCTAACTTCATGGGCCCAGATGGCAGCCTTTGTCACCATAACAAAATTCTGTTACTGTTATTTTTAATTGAGATCACAAACTGCCTTTTAATACACTTCAAACTTACATCTAAAATGAGTTGTGGTGGTATTTAAACAGCCAATGGAATGGTACAGTGGGCACTTGTTCAATGCATAAACTTGTTACTTAAATGTATTATTTTAAATGGTCAATTTTCTAGTGTATTTTACTTTTGAGGAGCACTTCAATGTGATTCCTCATGTTTTATAAAGGTTCTACTACATCCTTGTATATATTTTGGTTTGGTTTCATGAGACTTGCATTCTGAACAGGTTTATTCTTTAGTGGATTCCACTGAATTGGGTTTGATTTTGCTCTTGTACTTCTGTTGTGGCTAAATAAAGGAGAAAGAACTAAGTGTTGAATTGACATGTTTGTCTGATATGTCATTAAAGAAACCTATTGTTTCAGGTATTATGGGGGGAGGGGTTTTTATTTTTTTTATTTGGTCTCTTAGATGGTACCATGAGCCTTTCTACTGCCACTTAGTATGTTGTGCTTTGTCCTAGAAAAAGGCTTAACAGAATTAGTCTTAAGATTGCTTTTTTTTTTTATGCATTATTTTCTCTTGATTGCTAAGTCCCCAAGTATAGGAGTAGAGAAGCCAGCACAAGCCCTGGAGAGGAGGATGAAGTTGACCTGGCCAGCATTTGAATGCTTTTACATTTTTAAAGTTAATATTTGAAAACCCTTCACTGCCTAATTTGTGAGGGTTTTATCTTGCCTAATTTTCTAGGAAGTGACCAAGTGGGTGAAATCTTTGCAGATAAGTTTTTAAGTTCAATTAATATCTATCCTGGGTACAAAGCAGGGCCTTTTACTGCAATGTTAGTACTATGTGCAGCTTGTACACTTGTACTGAATGTAATAATATCATGGTGTGTATGTGCAAATACCTCCTTATACAAAAATCCAGGCCCTGTTCCTTCCTATTGCTAACATTCTAGACTTTTGCACCTGCAAAGCTTGAAGTCCCTGGAAGAGAAATTTTTAATTCTTACCCATGCATTTGAATACAGTGCATAATTCTGTCTGGAAATGATACATCTTTGTTCTGGGTTGACTGCCAGAATAGTGGCAAAGCACTCTGCCCCTTGGGGACGGAGTGCTTTGTTGTTTAAAAGGGGCTCTCTAGCCAATTAAGGAGTGGCCTTGACTGGAGCCTACGGGTTGTCTAGGCTTCCTCAGAAGAAGAGTTAGCTTGAGGCTTGGGAATAGTAAGGAAATTGGGTCCATAACCTTTTCCTGGGCTGCTAGGCTGGAGGAAATCATTGCTAGACACAAAGGCAAGGAAAGCAAAATTGACTTGCAGGTGGAAGTATGTAGTTTGCTGCCACTGAGAAGCTATGGAATGCAGGATGTCTGCATGCGCATGAAAGAAGCAGCTGAAAATTCAGATCCTGGTTTCTCTTTCACAGATGTCACTTGTGTAATTATGCTCTACCTTGTCCCTACTATGTTTGCTACCACATTAATAAATCCCACTATTATTCAGAAAAGCCTTTAAATGTTAATAAACTAAATTGATTCAAAGCCTCTTAATGCTTATTTCATTCACATAAAAATGCCTGTGCCTGTTTCTAAATGGATGGCTCTGTTGTTTGGATAGAGCCACATAATTACTTCTCTCCCACTGTCCTAATATTGAATGGACTGAAGAATTCCAGGCTACATTTTAAATGTGCCACGTTGGTATTTGTATCTTAAGCTAGTCTGGGCTCTTCCTGTTATTGAAAACAGAATCAGTGAAAAGCATTTCTTATCCTCACTTTCTGAAAGTAATGTATTTCTTAGAGGTTCAGAGCCCACCAACAGTGCTTTCACAGTAGGATGGCATTGTATCAAGGGATGTTACAGTCATGGTGCATAGAACTTCATGAAAGCCTAACTGGCAGGGAAAGGATGCAGCAGGTTACAAGAGATGAGAGACTAGTATGTATGCTAGCAAACTGGGGTTCTATATCTAGCTGTGCCACCAACCTGAGCAAGTTACTTAAATTTTCCTTTTTCCCTAGCTGGAAAATGGGGATAGCTTGTCAACGTTAGTACATGTCGCTAAGATCTCTAGACGAAAACTGTTATATAAGCAGTAACCACTCCTATTTCTATAACGTATATTTTCCCGCTGCTGCGTGGGATGACATAAAATGAGAACCTTATCAGGACGAACAGGAAAGCCAAAATAGACTTAGGCTGAGAGAGACTTATGTTGCTGTTCACTAGCAACTGGTGGCTGGTCAGGATGATGGCACTAAATGAGCTCTGTTAATTCCTACTCACCAGAAAATAATTATAGCGGCATGAGTTAACATGTGAGTGGGATGAAGAAAAAGATGCAGCTTTGACCTGAACACAAGACCCCTAAATATATTCTAATGCTTCTGCTTTGACCAGCTTTATTCCATGTGCCTGTTTAAAGGAAACAGAGCTCAGTGTGAGATAAGGGATGGTACAGAGAACTTGGATTCCTAGGAGTTGCCTCATAGAAAAGATTTTTTGGTGTAGAAAGCAGATGTGGGGAAGATTATAATGTTTGGTCAATGTTGTGTAAAAACTTTGGACATCTAGCCTGTATTGGTACTGAGGAATAGCTAATGGAGTGACAAGCTCACCTTTGGACAACTGTGTTTGCTCCCCCCACCATCAGTTGTTTCTTAAGAGAGTGTATTGCTGGGCTAGTCCCTTCTTCTGATAACATGGCTTGATTTATTTAAAAAAAATCCTGGTTATCATTCTCTTCATTTGTACATAAGTAAGTGCACCTCAAGATGACAATACTCTTTAGAATATTGCTTAGTGATGGGAAGCCGGCCAGATTTTTCCAAGGAACAAACAAGCCAAGTAAGAATAGATAAGCTGAAATCCTTCTTCCTGTATATAGCATGGATATTCACAGGAACCTCCTGCCAGAAGCTGCTGGTTTGGATAGCAATGTAGGCTCCCTGCTGAACTGGAAGTCAGTATTCAATAACTTGTAGGTTGAGGGCTTGATGCTAAAAAGTAACAGAAACATGTTACAAAGGCCCTTTTTAAGGCTTTATGTGAAAGGGCTGCAGAGATGGATTGTGGCGACAGTACCTTGATGCACTAATGTAAGTATTTCATGTGCAAACATTTGAGGAGTGCTGTACGCCATGATTTTGACTGAATTCTTCACTCTTCACTTGTTCAGGTAATAAATAAAAATTAATACTGGGATTTTCTTTTGGAGATGCAAGCATACACTTGCAATTGAGCAGTTCTAATAGAATAATTAAAACTTGAAACACTACCATTGAATGATATACAGACACATTATAGTACATATTTGAGACAGATTATCATGGGAGTGAATTGCCCATATTCTTTCTGTTATAGTTCTTCAATAGCATAGCTTGTTTTCTCTTGTCCTTTCTGGTCCTTTCTGAAGTGCTAACTGTTTAACAAATTCTATCTATTTCTCATATGCTGTTTAAAATCATCTCACATGTGGGACTAAACTGCATCCAACCCCATCCAACTCCACTCATTTGTCCAAAGGACTCTATAAGAGCTGCCCAGACTCATGCTTTGAGGAGCTCATGCTGCTACCAGGTTTCCCCTCTCCAAGGGCACCTTGCTGGCAAGAGGATGGAGAAAACTGTTGGAGCCATATTTCTACAATGTCTTCCCATCCCCAGGACAGTTTGAGCCATGGTATGTGGACCTTTTCAAAAAGCCAGTCACTCTCCTATTCCTGTGCTGATCAAGTCAGGAAGAAAGTATTGTTCCTCTCAAGGGTGATGTTCAGGAGCCTGTAACATCGAGGCTTGTTTCCTACAGGTGATAGCAGTTGGATAAATGCCCTCTCTACAGGACTATTTCTCTATCATGCTCTTTTCACAGGAAGAATATGGGGGAGTGGAAATGAGAGAAGCAGGACAGGCTTCAATTAGGAAAGCCTTCCAGGGAGAGCACTGAACATACACTACTGGGCTGCAGAGAAGTTGAAGTGAGGGGAACACCTGAATGGGGAATTTCACCAGTTGTGATAAAAAATCTAAACGAATTGCCAACAGGCAACAAAAGAAGTTGCTTGCAGTTCATAAAGGACCCAGCAGATGAGATAAGGTGAGTTCTTTATAACCGTAGCTTTGTTCAGTAAGTCCAAAGCAGGTAAGCCACATGCAAAAGCCCAGTAATATTATTTAAACAGTCAGGAGATGGCACAGATGTTTGTGTGAACGTTTGCTTTCATTTAATTTGATAGGTTGTCTCCCTGACTGACTGGCTACCTTCAGGAAGAACTGGCTAAAAAAAAATGTGAAAATGACTTGGTGGTTGCAACAGTGGTGACCTAATTTTAACTAGGATTAAAAAAAGTGAATTGTGGCAGGTGCATAAACCAGAAGGCCTAGACAGTCAGTACATTTACACTGGTGAATGTTACATTGAGTTTGCATCCTTATTTAATTGCATCAAGATCTGGAGCAGACAGGCAGGCAGGCAGTAGGAATCAGGAGAAGGTGCATAAGCTGAACTCAATAGGTACTATTATAGCACTTTAAGGTATAGCCTGCTTACCTTGTGCAAATGGCTACCCTGTAATAAGCTGTGGAGAGACGACACCTAACTGGGGTGTGGACACAAGAGGCTTGGAGCCCTTTCAAAAGGGGAACACTTTTTCATCTAGGGTTAAATTTGGAGTAGTTTGAATCGCTCTCATTTGGTTCACATATAACTATTAGAACTACCAACTACTGCCTCCCCCTCCCCACCCCTTTTGATAGGGTTCAAAGGATTCCTGTGATCATGCCCTAAATCAGTGTAACTTACCCATATACCCTTGATTCTTCACCTGGGTTTGGTGAAGTTGCCCAATGCAGGGGCTTTGTGGTCTGTCCACTCTGTTTTTTACAGTAATGCAAAGTCTTCTTACACTGATGTAAACGTGTAATCTGTCCAGGATTTTAGACTAATATACATGGAAATATATGGCATAAAAGCTGGTGTGTACTGAAAGTTATCTATACCAGTTTCTGTTAATCAACCAGCATTTTTCAGCCTTTTCCATCCAGGCAGTGTTTCTCTGTACCTAAATGTGGTAATATTGGTCATGTGTCAGTCCTCCATTAAGCTTCTGCAGTAAATTAAAAGGGGTATGAACATTATTAAAGTGGCTGCTAGAATTTTATCTAAACTATGGAAAAATAAAGCCAATTTCTTTGAGGGAAGAGACTAGGAATGTACTGTAGGCAGGGTTTAATTTTTTTTTAACCCAGTATTACTGTTAAATAATGTCTCACATTCCAAAGCTTGTCTAACTCTATCCCAACTATACAGTTAGTCCAACAAAAGATATTGCACTATGAAATTCTTGCTTCTTGAAGTAATATAAAGAAGGCAATGTAAAAACAGGTGTTGCCTTGTTTTAAAAAAATGAATAGGTATAAGGATATGAACTTTTCTCTGTCTGTCTATGATAGATATAGAAAGACACTGAAGGGGATCCTGAATGTATTAAGAACAATTTTACATGTTATATGGCAAAATGAGCTATTTTTTACTTTGCAAGGAAAACATCAATTAGGTGAACAATGTCCCCTATATATAATGTAGATGCCTAGCTGTCTGTAGATTGCCCCTTTGAATTTTCTTTGGGATCCATTGCGTCTTCTGTTAAGAGGAAATTATCAACAACAAGAGGAAATCCTGTACTAGTACTGAATAGTCCTTATTCTAAAGGTACTTCCCTTCTTGTGGGAATTGTATATAATCAGAACAACACTCCATAAAACAGATGAATTATTTTAGAAGGGAGACGGGTCAGTCTCTTTTTTTTTTTTTAAAGTCTGACGTTATTGTACATAAGAAAGTCAATTGTTATATTGGATGACATTCTTACACAAGCTGACTGTTCTTCAGAGAGGTGGGGCAAAGTTTAAGGCATTGGTTACAGGAAGCTTTTACTCCTTGGAGACTTTCATGTTTTCTGGAGTACACAATGACAAATCAATGCTAAAATTACTTTTTTTGAAAGTGTACCCTGTGTAGTTCCAAGTGATTAAACTTTGTCCTGTTAAGAGCTACATTTGCTGGAGAAATGCATGCACTGGAGCCCATCAGCTAACATCCACTGAATACAGCATAGCAAATTGATCTGCACATCAATAGCCACAACTCTTGTACAGGACGTGTGGACTACACAAGTCAAGGATTTGTCCTCAAGTGTTCTAAACTGAGTTTTTTGCCTTGGAAGATTTGCTCTGGGTTTTTTTTGTAATTGAAAACAAGTGAAAGCGAAGGGCTGGCATTTTCCAAGGGGTGCCGTGAATCTAATGAGGAGTCTAAAATGGTTGAGAACCAGTGCTCTCATAGCTGTAAACAGAGGTTACTCTCACTCATTCCCAGCCACAATACCAGAACAGTGTTGTGAGATGCTAGAATGAAACCAGTACTTATTAAAGGAAACTAAAAGGAGCTCTCTTATAGCTTTAAAGTGCCTTTTCAGGTTTTATTAACCAGACTTTTACCTTTCCTTAGGGCAGTTGGCTAGGTTCCCTTCACACTGTGTA